TTCAGCATCACTCAGTGGTGCACATGAAGGAACGTCTTCTTACCCAGAAGGACCCTAGTGGCCCAGGTAAGACCTGGAGACGTTTCGACGCTAAGCCCCAATACCCTAAGTTCGGCTATATGGGGTATGATGGTAGTGCCGCAGAGTATGGTTACCAGGAACAACAGGAATCCGCAAAAGGCTACGGTGACGGCTACGGCGAAGAAGCATACCAGGCCACAGCGTCTGGGGGAGATGATGCAGATGAATGGATTGATGATGAGGATCTAGCATTGCAACTCAACGCCTATACGGCAGTGGCATAATATGAAGCTGAGATTGACGATTTGGATGATTCCTATGCCGAGTCAGTTCAGCTTGCGTACGCGGCACAGACCGCCTTTGCCCAGGCGAAAGGAAAAGGAAAGGGGAAGAACAAGGGCAAGTCCCCCGGAAAATCCGGAGGGAAGGTCGTGCGTAGCAATTTGACCATTGCTGACCGTAAGGCCAAGTTAGCAGAGCTTAAGGCAAAGAGTAGGTGCCTGAAGTGCGGTGTGATCGGCCATTGGGCCGGAGATGCTGCCTGCAAGTTTAGCGGTAAGGGCAATGGCTCCAAGGGCACCGCAACCCCAGCACAGTCTGGGGGAACTGCCAATGCAGCCGCAAAGTCGGCGGCGCCGAAGCCTCAGGCGTATTTCGCCGCAGTGGAGGAGGATGACACAGAGTGTGTCCATCTGTCGAATGCGAGCGCTGGTAGGCTCGAGGGTTACCCAGCCAACCTTGAGCTGACTCCCTCAAAGACCAATACCGGCAAAGGCCGCGGCAATGAAACCCTCTTCTCACCACAGCTTCGGCGCACAGCCGCCGCTAGGATCATGCGTGACAGCCCGCCTGAGGGTTCCGATCGCGTTTTCTCCTTTGGTCAGCATAAGGGTCTGACTTATGAGCGTGTCTTGTATACGTTTCCTGGGTATGTTCTTTGGGGACGCACGCAGAAGTGCCCATCCATAAATTTGGCCGATTTCTTGGATTGGGTCACGGAGTACTTTGATGTGCGTGATGATAACCCCATTAGCATTACGAGAAGGGATATCCCTCTCAGCCAGGAACCCCCGCCTGAACCCTTCCAGCCCGAGGTTCGCCTCGCCGCGTCAGCTGCTTCGTCCAGCGAAGGCCCCCGGAAATGCCGGGGAGGTTGCAAGGAGTTCAACAAGTCGGGGAGTAACGCATACATAGACATGCGGACCTGTAAGAAATGCGGCACCGTCACCAAGACGAAGAAAGAGAAGCCTGTCATAGACCAGGCCACATGCCCCCACACCTCCACCGAGAGGTCGGGTAGCAGTAGGAAGACCTCCCGCATTAAGTGCAAGCTTTGTGGGATGCTTCTAGATGAGCAGCCGCAGACCGAGCGAAAGGCTAGGGATGACGCAGCCACAGTGCTGCGGGAGTCCAACACCCTGGACTTCGATCTTCTGCGCAGCATAGTCGGCAGCACGGGGGATAGCCTCCCCGTAGAGGTAGTAGTTCCGGCTATTGCCCAGTTTCAAGAGACCATAGAGGGTCACTTCGTAACCGAGCCCGTGATATCCCGCGGTGACCTTCTCGCATACCTGCAAGAGGCCTTAGACGATCACTCTGCGCCATCGACCAACAACAGTTGGGAAGTGGCGTCGGCGAGATCGCGCTCCTCGAGGGCCTCCGCGACGAGGCACGCCTTCGTGGCTTTCACTGAGGGGGTCACAGATATCCATCCGGCTTTGGTTGATTTGCCCGTAGTAAATATCTACGAGGATAAGCACGTATACGCCGTGTTGGATGAGGGCTGTAACTCGACTGTTCACGGTAGCGATTGGATAGCAAACGCGGCGGGGAAACTTGCGAACTTCGGTTACAGCACGAGGTTTAAACCTGAGGGCAATCGTACCTTCAAGGGTCTTAGCGGCGCTACCGAGACCTTGGGTAGCAGGACCATACCTTTCTCTATAATGGGATTGGAGCAGGACTTGAGAGTTCCGGGCGTCCTTGATTCGCATGAGATTAAGGGTACAGCCCCTCTCCTTTTGTCCCTTTACGCGCAGGCCCAGCTTGGTATAACCAAAGATCTTCGGTTTGGTGAGTGTGGTGTTAGACTTCCTTCAGAGGATAGCATCATTAGGATCAAGCTGTGTCGGACACATGACTCAGGGCTGTTATGCATAAACATAACAGAAGGCTTGACCCAGGTGAAACAACCCCGTCTCATAAAGAGCTTCCAAATTCCCTCGCCGCCAGTTCCTATATTTAGGTCTGCCGCCGCCGCCGCCTTAGCTCACTCAGAGTCCGTGAGCGGATCACCCCGAGATGCAACAGCGGCAGATGACGCAGTGGCAACAAGTCGCAGTCACAGTACTGTAGATGCAGGCCATGGTCATAGCACTGTAGGCGTAGGCCACGGTCACAGCTTTACAACGACAGCTGAGAATCGCAACAACACCAAGCGACGCATAAGCGTAGCGTTTCCGAACCATTGCATGGTAGGCACGTCCGTAGGAGACACGGAGCCCACCGCGATGGCCGCAGCAGAGGGGCAGCTGCCTAAGAAGGCGCCCCCGACGGCAAAGGCTGCACCGAAGGTTCTTGCAGCGCCGGACCCTGGCCACAGTGCCATGGCGAAGTCACCAGCGGTCGGCCACAGTGCCGCACCGGCAGGAGGCACTTTCTCTGCGCCTGCGCCTAAGGCGCCGCCTGGAAGTGGACTGCCCAAGAAGGCGCCTCCCACGGAGAAGGCCAGGCCTGGGGATAGCCCAGGGATTCCGCCAGCAGCTCGTGCCACAGTGCACCCGAAGGAGATTGCAAGAGGGCACCGCGAGCTGGCCGAGTTTGATGCGGTTGTGAAGAAGGACCCGCATGGCAGGAACCTGGTTATAATGGCAGGTGGAGGACCCCACGGTCCGGAGCTCGACACGCCTCTCCCAGCATCCGTGTATAATCCGGATTTGGCCTTGCAGCCGTATTATGCGGGGGACATAGCGAACCCGGACATCATTATTGATGTTTTTACCTGGGGCTATGAGCACCATGCCTGGCTGCAACGCGTCAGAGGGAAGTGGGCAGCAGCCGAGCTCTTCGCACAGCACGAAGAGATGGAAACGCATGCAACCACGACGTATGCGTCAGCCACCAGCTATATGCTGGTGATGTTGGACATGGTGTGGCTAAAGGACGATCGCAAAGACGATCTGACGCCTGCAGAAGCCCAGCAGCGCAACGATGAACAGCGCGACCGCACAAAGCATGTTGGGTCAAACCCCGATATAATTCGGGAGCACGCAGACCATCCCAATTTGATTGCCCACGTCAGGCACATCTTGGCGAACGTCCTCGACGCCAAGGATGCTGGGATTCGGTCCATAGCCGTGCATGTTGTTTGCAAGGCCAACAGACATAGATCTGTTGCGGCGGGTATCCTTACCCATGCGACGCTTTTGGAGCTTGTGCCGGATTGCTCCGTCAGCCTCACTCACATGAGTGCAGCGAACAGTTGGCCGTTCATGGGCAGCAAAGCGTGCAAAGGGCAGTGCCCCAAGTGTTTGCACCGCGCCCCTGGCATAGCCCAGGAGGTTGAGGAGCTTACGAAGTCCTTCGTCGACGCCGTCCGCATAGACGGACCGGAGGACAATGAGTGCATCCTTGTCGTGGAGCCGCAGTGTGCACGCCCTAGCTGATGATCAGCCTACATATGCTGAGCGGTTTCATGCACGCCTGCTTGCAGAGGGCCGCATACAGGCACCGGTGACGGGGGTAGGTCCCCTTGATAGACCTCCCCT